ATTTTTAACAAAGGAAATTCTAGATAATCGAGTGAACCTTCAACAAGGAATAATTAAAGATCTCTCTGTTAAATTGTAAGCAAAGTGGTGTCAACTTGTGAGTATCGTTACAAGCTCGTTGCATGCAAATTATAAAGAAAATCTAATGACTAGATTTTCTACAAATAAACAAAACCGATTTTAAAGGCCTGTTTATATTTATTCATGTAGCCATGGCAACTTAACTTAAACAACGCTTAAACTTTGTGAATCGGTTAATGTGTTTAAACGCCGCCTTAAGTAACCTTAGCACTTCTGCTATTAAGTGCTCTATTTTAAGTCTGATATATAATTTTTAGCTTAATTGTATAATTAATTTTTACCTTAATTGTAGTGCCTCTGAAAATCCTCTTCGGGGAAGTGGTAATAAAGTATGTATGTAGGTATGTAACAGCACCTACGTCAGCTTAACTATCGCAAAAACAAAGTTTGTGTTGTTAACTTGCTTGCTGCCAGTTTTGGCGACCGAGATATCAAGGGTGTTAGAGAAAATGGTGACAGAAACAGGTATCAAAAGCTGTGTTCAGCCACCTTAATCACAATGGCCAATTAGAGAAAATCTCAATATCACTAAGAGCCAATGAGAAATCTGCATACTGACTGAGGCGCGGGAAAACCCGAGGACGGAGTCGTGATTGATTTTAGTGTTAAGAAATGGACCAATCACAGCGAAGTTAAGCAAAACTAAAGCAGTCCCTTAGACATTCAATTGAAAATATCCCTTCTAAGCCAGATGCCAGATTGGAATTTTCTTCAAAACTAGTAGGGAAAACAGAAGCAAATTTGAAAAGTTGTGAATGTCATTTAAGGCGACATCGGTTCGAAAAAGGAAGAGACAAGCTTAGAGGCTTTTGCCCAGTGTAAATCCATCGAAGCTGACCGGTTCAAATATTTCTTTTTTACGTTTTTCCAAAGGTTAATCTCGAAAAAACGATCGCCGATAGCCAACAGAAAAGCGACAACATCGCAAAACTCGAAGACACCATACGTGGACTTCAAGGCAACGTGGCGGCTCTGGAATCGAAACTGCGCTCTGAGGAAACGATCCGGCGCGAACTTCACAACACCATCCAGGAACTGAAAGGTAATATACGGGTATTCTGTCGGGTGCGGCCCATGCTGGCATCAGAAGAGAGTCAGCGGTCGTGTGCGTTTTCATTTGGGCAAGACGAGAGGGAACTGATGGTGGAATCCACGTCGCTGAATGAGGTGAGAGAAAGCTCTGCCTTCTGATCGGCTCATCTTAACTTAAATTTACTGCGCCTTCGGTTTGTGAGCTTAAGGTTATTGTGATCCTTCTGCAGTTACTTTACTCATTAGCCAACCATTACTTTCAGTCTTCCATCGAGTCGCGGCTGGCCGGATCTTTGTGTAGTGTTTTTGGGCGACACTTTACCCTTACCGGTACCTCTCTCTCCACTCAGTTATAACTGAGTACTAGCCAACTGTCAGTGAAGTCTGAAGAAATTCTGGGGGGGTGGGAGAGGGAGTTGGTCTGATATCCTATCCAGTGGATACCCTCTAGCTGCCACTCATTTCCTTGAAAATTAGTCACGAGAATTTGGTGTTAGACCAAGATAACAACTTCTACCTGATGAGTTTGAGTATTCTCATCACCTGTGTGCTGAATAATGTATGGATTTTATTGGGAGAAATTGTTGTTTTAATCACTTCTGGGAGCTAAAGGGTTAATGGAAACTCCTAGCCGCACATTGCTATAGAAACGGGGAATGTGCAGCCATCGGTGAAGGCACTTTTGTGTCACGCGATGAAATCAAATATTAAAGTTTCGTAAGGTTCAGTCATCCGTATCTTTATAAAGAAAAACGTTGCAGTATTTTTAATCAAAGTATTGCTCTTCCTAAGTCGTTGTCTGCATGAACTCTTCTATGTCCTATTCTTTTTCGAAAGAAAAATTAGTTTCTTTTTTGTTTTTGTATTTGTTTGTTTGTTTGGTTTTTGAGTTAATGCTGCCTGTTTATTTTCTTCGTAGAGTATTTGCGGAAATAAGAAGGCCGCACCCAAACATGAATTCATGTTCGACAAAGTGTTTAAGCCTTCTTCAAACCAAGAGGATGTCTTTGGTGAAATCTCGCAGTTGATTCAGTCAGCCCTGGACGGTTACAATGTGTGTATATTTGCTTATGGACAAACGGGCTCAGGAAAAACTTTTACCATGGAGGGAAACCACGGAGATCATGAGTCAAAGGGAATGATCCCACGAGCCTTGGAACAAGTGTTCCGGACAAGCCAAGACCTCAGAGAAAAAGGGTGGCAGGTGATGAACGGTTTTATGCTTTTGTCTTTGTGATCTGTTACTTGAAGAGAAAAAAAAAACATAACTCGATGGACCCTATCATTTGTAGTATACTATGCACTGAAAAGTGAAATATGTAGAAAAAATTGCCCTGTAGCTGTCGGCAGTTCGAAGATTGTTTTCTGGTTAGCTTTTTTTCATGCTGGCACTTCAAAAGGCTCCTACGTGTAACTAAGGTCTCTTTGGACTAAATGAAATGAATAAGCGTGTGTCTGTTTAACAAATCATTACCATGTTTCCATGCGTCAAAGTGTGGTTAAAACAAAAACAAGTGGCACTCGAGTCTTAATCAAGTGTGTCATTGTTGTTCTTGCCCCTTTTTTTGGAGGTCTTCTGCGATCTGCTACTGTGCAGACCCACGCCAACCTAAAACCTATTTCGGTTTTATATCACGACAAAGCAAACTGATGTTGTTAATGCATCTGCGCGTGTCTAAAATGCGCGCCTAATTCATAATGGTAATTGAACTGAGTGGAGTGCAATTTGGGCTGAAATCATACATACATACATACATACATACATNCAGTAATCTCGTGCGTGGGAAATTAACGTCTCCTACCCCTAACCCTGCAGGAGACGGGGCCTACGGTTTATTCGTCCTTATCCGAGAAGACTAGAATATCTATCCAATTTTTTGATCATAGAAAGGTAGCAAATTCTCCTCACTTATTTTAAGACCATGAGTATCGGTCCGGCTGGGACTCGAACCCTCGACCACCCGCACAACACAATCCGGCGCTCTAACCAATTGAGCATACCTAATCATACGCGCGATTTCAAAATTGAGCGAGCGCACAGCGCGAGTTAGATTTGAAATCACAAGTATGATTTCAGACCAAAATTGCACGACACGAGGTTCAATTACCACTTTATTACATCCATTTTGAAATCGCCCAAATACAGGACTTGGTCAATTCAAATATTTTACTGATGCAGTACTGAGCCGGTTTTTAAATAAAAAGCGAAACCGGAAACGCTTTTACATCTTATTTTGTATGCAAAACAGAAAGACTTCGACGTCATGTGTCAAAAACTCTGTCAAGCGTAAAAATTATGCGATTTAGAGCAAAAAATGGTGCGATTCGTGAATAAATCGCACCAATTAGAGCCAATCAGATTACAGGGACTACCAGTGATTTCAAAATGGATGTAATAAAGCCTATTTATATATATATGATACCATTCATCGCTGGATCCGTAGTGTTCTGTTTCAGTTCACAAAATTCTTGGTTCAGGGCTTTTGTTGCCATGGACAGAAAAAGTCCTTTAATCATGTTTTCTGTGTTTTATCTCCTGTTAGTACACGATTGAAGCTAGCTTCCTGGAAATTTATAACGAGACTATCAGGGATCTGCTGGGCTCCGGTGATTCTAACACCAAGCATGAGATCAAATTGGTAAATCCCAGTAACACCGGAGGGGCATGTGAGGTTACCGTCACAAACGTTAAGACCGTGACTGTCACGTCACAAACACAGGTTTGTAATTTGCCATAACTTTCACCAGATGTTTCCAAGTGAAATATTGCAGCTTTTAGAAAAGGAAAAGAAGATGACCTTGACGGCATCGAGAGTACAAAAGGTAAAATGGGCAGAACAGTAGCTCTGCACATGCGTATGAGACTTCCCATAGGGAGGGGTTGGGGAGGGGGTCTGGACCCTCCCCACCCCCCTTCACCCAATTCAACCGGAGTTTCTTTACCACCAGTATTACTCCAAAGCTGTTGCGACTGGATAATCTTTTCTGTGTGTTGCCACGTTTGGACCTTACTCCTGTCAAAAATTCCTTGATTCGGCCCCTACTTTCAAGTACATTTCCTCGCCGTCCCACTCAAAGTATTTAAAGAAGTAAAGATGTTTTCATTCCTTCGTGCAGGTGTACAGTCTTTTGGAAAAAGCGACTCAAAACAGAGCTGTAGCCGCCACCCAGTGCAATGAACGATCATCCCGGAGCCATAGCGTTTTTCGACTGAAACTTGTCGGCGAAAATCAACTCACCGGTGAAAAATGCCAAGGTAAAGAACAACAGAATGAAGCAGTGGCATCAGCTATTCCAAAGGGCGAGCTGTTTTTTCTATTTCCATCTCACTCTGACTGTGCCTGCCAATTCCCTTAATTTGTGCTATCTGTTCAACGTTTTCGCCTATTTTTGATAAAATATCATGTAATAATCGAAATGTTTTCTCCTCAGGGACTCTGAACCTTATTGACTTGGCAGGATCTGAGCGCTTGAGTCAGTCCTGCTCCACTGGAGAACGTCTACGTGAAACAAAGAACATCAACAAAAGTTTGAGCAACTTGGGAAATGTGATCATGGCTCTTGCCAATAAAGAGCAACACATTCCATACAGGAACTCCAAACTGACCTTCCTATTACAAAACTCCCTTGGTGGAAACAGCAAAAGGTGGGTGTACAGGAGAAGATCAAACTGGCGTGACGTACGAGCGTGACGTACGGGCATGACGCGCGCTCTGACATTTTCAATTGACTCTTAAGACTGTGGCGAGGATTTTGTGTTCAAAAGTTATTTACCGAGATGCCGTTTGGAGGAGTTTTCAGCCGATTGTTTTCGAAGATTTGCTTTTGTAACCACTCACGAATAGAGGGGCTGTTGTAACCAACTTTGCAGTTTGTCTTTTTTTAACCTATAACAAATTATCATAATGTTAATATTCTTACTATATTTGGCAATCTGTTGGTGACTCCGACTAATCTTGGATTTTTGTTTACCAGTTTAATGTTCGTAAACATTTCACCGAAGGAGGAATCACTGCAAGAGACTCTTTGCTCTCTTCGGTTTGCTACCAAGGTAAAAATAATTTTTCCGTTGGAGGATTTTTTTGTTTGAGAATCTGCGTGCAAAACTTGAATCTAAATCTGAGGAAGAAAATCCTTCAATCTTTGCAACGTACACTTTCTTTGAGGGGGATCCGGGCTGTACGAAGTGGGGCGTAGAGAAAACCATCGTCTGTTCGAGTAAAGTTTTTGCCAACGCGGGGATTCATGAAAGAATTCTCACATGTTCCACCACATCTCTCTGCTCGAGGCTGCGAAACTAAAGAGGTTATTTTCAACATTGCATTAGATTGTATTGCCTTGCTTTACCAAGCTCTGTGATCTGTGAAGAAAACTCGAGCCACTCTCTCGCGCAGTCAGATACAAAACTAAAACCATTCGCATTTGAATTCAGTTTCTCGTGTTTTTTCCACTCATCGGGCGTTTTGTGCGTGTTTACTTCGAGTTATCATTAGTTCCTTTTGATGTCAACCTTTGTTCTTATTGGACGTTGTAGGTAAACCAATGTAATATCGGAACTGCACAGAAGAAGGTTCTCAAGTAACGCTGACCAAGAGGGAGAAAACACGTCCTTCCTCAAGTAACTCTATCCTGTTTTAAAAAAAAAAAACAGTACAATCATTTTAAACTTTTCAAATAAGAGATTTCAAAGAATTTCTGACATGCATTTTAGTTTTCAAGCAGATAAGATGTACTTTTTATTTGTAAATTCATCGATGAAAGTCCTAGTTTAAACTTGCTCAGGAGGCGGTGTTTTACCGTGACCACCTCCTGTAGCCATCGATGTTATTGTTAAGTCTCCTGGACATCGGAATGTGGCTTCATATGCAAGTAATTTACCCTGGTTTTGAATTCTACGAAGCTTAACGAACAGCAATGCAAAGTTTACCCCTGGAGAATGATGTAAGCTAAATATGTATATAATAAACAATGTAAATGATGACAAACTGGTTTTGTTGATTTTTTTTTTTTTTTTTCTATCGAGTTCGTTGCTTAAAGTTGTCTGGCGAAATGTTAGGGCGTCTCCTTACGCTACTGGACATGCGCCAGAATTTGCGCTTTTTAAGGGAGCGGGGGCAAGTGTGACAGAATAGCGAAGAATGACTACCCTTTGTGCAGTTCTTGCTCACGCTTTGCTTTTTCATTCGCTTGCCTCAACCTCGTTTCTAGGGAATAGCTGTGGGAACAAGTTTGCTGCTTCCCGGAAAAAAAAAAACAGAACAGAAAAGCGACTTCTTTTCTCTTTCGAGGAAAGGGGAGGTTTTGACATCCTTTGTGGTAACTCAGAATTTGTAAATAGCCCTGAATAAGCGTAGGTTTGCAGATGAGTGAACTAAGTTTTCCAGACTTCTCAGTCACACCAAAAGCTCTGGTCAGTGAAAGCGCTGCTCAGTTAAAAAAGGAGCTACTTTAGGTTTAAGCATAAGGAAACTTCATCAAGTTGACTATGAAACTCTTCTACATCCCTAGCCGCCAATGTTTATATATGGTGAAAAGATTAGACAGATCGTAGATTGGTCGCCGCCATTTTTAATATTACTTGGCAACCTGGCCACAAGTATGTAGCTGCATTTAAACTTTATCGATTAAAATCGGAGCGCAAGCTAAATAAAAAAAGACAGATCGATGACTAAAGTCACAGTTTGTTAACTGCGCGTGTTTAGTTGGGTTGGTTTCGGGATCAAATTCTGTGAGGTACGTGTTTCCTTTCGGTGGCAAAAATCGCCCTCGCTTTTTGGGACGTTGATGGTTTGTCTGTCTTTCCTTTCTGTTTGGTTCATTATTCAATTCATCGGTCCTTGTGACAAATTTTTCCGTGTCGTCATCAAAAATCTTCATCATGTCCATGAGTGTAGCTCACAGCTGAGCATCACTCAATTTTCCAATATTAAATTTTCTCATCTCAATTTGCCATTTTTATTTTCACTTTTTTTTTTCTAATTAGATCTTATTCTCCATTGCTGTTTTTCTGGTTGTCTATTTCTGTTGTAATCTGCTGACCAAACCCTTTAATTTTTATCAAATCAGAGATAAATAATTGTTCGTCACATGAATACAGAAATTAAAGGGATAAGGTTTTTCTTTTTCTTCCCAATTCAGCGGTGCATTCGACCTCCACTTTGCCGTCATAGAAAAACAATAATATTAAAGGTTCAGTACAGCAACCTTAAAGAATTACCATAAAACCTAACATATTTTCACTTTAGAAGTAAAAAAAAAAAAAAAAAAAGGAAAATTGAATTAATTTAACTTAAGACGTATTATTTTTACAGAGGTAATGATTGATCGATGAAAGAGCGGATTGTTCGGCTGACAGATTTGAATTGCTTATTACACAATTTATGTAAATATAAAACGGAAGAATCTAAAGAAGTTTCTGGCAAGTCTTGCTGCGAATTTGTCAATTAAACCTGCATATACAATAGTGTTCCATTGTAGCACGAATTGCTTTATATTCAGAGTATGAGTGCCCGTGTATCCAGGAAAAGATCACTCCTCGCTCGACAAACAGGATCAAAATGACCGCAATTTAACCCCTGAGGTCCTAGAAGGAAGTTTGAAAGACTTGAGTTGGTTCATCTGAGAGTCGTGACAATCAGAAACGAAAACAGACATGCGCGATGCGAAAGAAAATGATCAAAATTTATCGACTCGTGCAGACAAGCGAATCGCATTCCTTTACTATATTTTGTCTCTACGCGATGTATTCACCTGATTAGACATCGCTTTCAATATATCGCAATCATTGCTATATCCAAAAGTCATTGGATTAAAGACAAGTATTTAAATCGAGTAGAAATCACCTCCCAGATGGCCAAGCTTTCTACCTTCATGTTTCTCGCTGAGTTTCACGTTGTTTTTCACAGTGGACGCAAATTAGTTAATTCCTATTGGTTGAATTTAGCTTTGAAATGAAGAATAGAAATTCACTTACCCGACACAGATATACGATGGAAGTAGAATTTTTTTACAAGTGTTTGACTAAACGACGGAATGTCTTCGTCTGGCAGTATCGCTACCCGCACTTGACTGCGTTCGGCAACTGAGGAATATTTTTGCCACAAAATAGTAAATTTTTTTAATCTTTGGAGTGAAACAAAAAAAAGTTATATTGACGTGGTAAAACTGGCGAATAAAAAACAATCTGCGAACAACAAAGTCCCATTCTGTTCGGTTGGAGAACAGGTGTGAGTGTTTTTTTTTTCTTTCCCTGTGACAAGGATAGAACTTTTACAAAATATTTCCTCTCACTGGGTAGTTGTTGTTCGACGCAATTTTCTCTTGTGAAAAAAAACAAAAGAATTTGGACACTGATCATGAGACGTTCATGTTTGCCGGAATTATTTTCGCGACGAATGGTGACATTCGCGAGGGGCCACTATAATGGAATGCTCGGTTTCCGAAAAAAACTTGCCACTTCGCCTCGAAGTTCTTCAAAAGAAACCAACAGCCTAAAAAGCAGGCATTCCGCAGAAAAGTTAAATAAAATCAATTTATTTTCCCAGCTGGGGCTTATTTCGTTATAAACATTGATAAGTCCGCGGTTAAAATTTTGTAATTTTTTTTTTAATCGAAATTGTCAAATACTGAAAGCGATACCGGTGTAAATTTATTCATTCGTGATAGATAAGAAATTGGGATCTGTGCCATCAACGACCTTCGAAAATTGTAGCATTGATGTAGAAACAATGAATACAAATACATATGTACGAAATAATCTTATTGCAGCAATATGTGAAACATTTCCAATTACAGCTCTTCGCTCCGTTTTCCTGTGCGAGCTCTACTTCTATTTCAATTCGAACACTATCCACTGAAAAAGCCGCCTTTCGGCCGGAACACGGCGCTAAAAAAATTCTTTGAGGAAAACAGAAAATTATTTTATTTTAAATTCTGAGTGACTCGGTTATTCAACAGACAAGAGGTAAACAATTGTAGTTTTAATGAAACCATGAGGGGCTCACGCCAATCACAGAGAAGTATTCCGATTAAATGGTGAGACTCGGAGGGTAAAAATATTCAGAGTCGTCAAAACGTGGTTTTAATGAATTTGAACAAGATGTTTCAAGATGCCTTCGGTAGACGTGTTGGGTAACAAAGGCTGCACTGAAATCAGTAACTTTCAATTTTTCTTTGAATTCAAGAAATAAAAATTAGTCGATCACCAAAAACGCGGAAAAAAAAAAGAAAAACACAAAACAAAACAATAGCCATCAGCCCATCTTCTATTTAAATCACTCGTCGCCCAAGTGTCGAGTCCAGAGATGTAAACATAAAGAAAATGTTTGAATCGCCCTCTCTGACAATTCTCCCGATTTAAAGAAAATGCATTTGTAGGCAAACTTTCTTCAATAAAACTCTTTAATGGTACAAAGGTGATTTTAATCATTTTCTAGATTCGTGTCCCGCACATCAGTTTTTAAAATGGCTTTCAAGTGTAATATATATCTGACTTCCACTCACTACGCTTTCAAAATTACATGATACATTTCAATTACGCCAGTCTGTAACGTTCCCCGGTTTGGCCAGATGATCTTTTTCGTTTATTTTCAATAGAAGTTTTAAATTCTACATTGTTTTGGGTCATACCCGTAACCAACAAGTCTTTGACGGAATATTGTCACATGTCAGAACATCATATTTCACGAATCTCTCTCAGTCAATATTATTCTATAAAGTACTTCTGTCTTTTTCATTGTTTAGTTTTCTCGTTTGTTTACGATGCTTTCAACAAAAAGTGTGTTTTTCCAAAGCCTCCTTATCGGCGAATTGTCTTGCCTTTGGCTAAAAATTTCTAACAGTCGTTGCCACTTTGTTCTTCTTCCATACAACTGACCATAAGAATTTCTTTTCAGTTAAGTCGAAAAGTTTTGGTTATTTAAGTTTCTGATAGTTTTAAAGCCCTTACAATCGCATTTGCTGAGCTAGGAGAATCAAAAATCTCTTTACCTATAAACAGTTTGAATCTTCGTATTCAATCCGATGGTTGTGGGCTGGCAAAATTCTCTCCAAGAGAACCGAAAAATTGAAAAACGAAAAACAAGAATTCCGTACAACTATGTTGCCGGACAAGGAAAGAATAAAAATATCGCCTATCTGTCTAACTACTAGTACTTCGTTATCTCTTAGCTTTTATTCAAATACAAACTAAATTTTTTTAGCCGCTCATCAATCTTGGCCGGTTGGCCACCGCGTGCAACCTTTGTGCAGCATATCAATTATAAATTAGTGAATTTTACATACATAAAAAAAGTGAGTCTATTTCTTCACAAAGTCAAAGTGGTTACTCTTGGATGTAGCAAAGATTATGTTGCTGTATTTTTTTGTTGTTGTTGTTGTTCTAACAGCATTAACATGATACCTTGGATTTTCTGTTTCTTTGTTCACATTGCTATATTAAGCAGGTTGTTTCCAATTATTTCACGAGCCGCGAGGAGAAATCTCTTGTGTTCACTCTTTCGGAGTTTCGCTCGCATTGATTCCATTGCTGTTACGTGGAAAAGTGTTTGGCCGGCACTCATCCATGTTCCTCGATCTTGGGCGATTTCCGCTGTGACGATCCATTCTGCCTGAACGTTCCGACACAGTCCTGTAATCTGGCAGTTGTACAGCTCCGATTTACCCCCCAAACCTCCAAATTATATAACAATAAAGAGGGAAAATATCTTCGTTACACCCCCGTTTCAAATCGTATAGTAGAATCGGGGTAATCCACAAGAGGCATGGAATTCGCCACAACTGCCGTATTTGCCTTATTCTTGTGTCCTTTAGAATTCAAAGGAATGCTGTCTAGCGATGTTAGTAGTTCCATTTCTATGCCAGTTTCAGGTCCATTCATTCCATTATGATCAACTGCTCCATATTTTCGTTCTTGCTCTGCTTCTTCCTTCTCTTTCTGAAGTCTTTCGCTTTCCATGCGCTCCTTCTCTTTCTTGCTCTGTT